TGAAATTTTTAAAGGCCATTTTACAGACCATAGTACCTGTTAATAATGATTATACTGAAACTAAAACTAATATGGTACTTTAAGTTCATATTAAGATCCTTTAACTGACCTTAATTAATTTGGAATGAACCAGGCAGAGTTTTTAGTCATGACATTCAAATATGCTAATATGATTGCATTTTTATAACACGACTTTGGTCTCTAATCCTATTCAGAACTGGGCACTATATACAATTGGAAGAAAATGAGACAGACTGAACAGCCATTTGCTTTTGAATAGTTTAGGTTGGAATGCTGAATATCAACTTTGAGTATTTGAATCTTTTTCTGTCACTTAGATTTTAAACATCTTCCCACAGCTGTGTTGGGGAAGTTGGGTTGACCACCTAGCTCACGGGCGTGACCTTGGTGATTTCCTTGAAACAGTGTTGAAGGATTTCAAGTTACAGGTTTTGATTGCTCCTGTAGATTACTATGTAGAGAGTTCTCTTCCCTTGTCAGATGAAGAAAAAAAATAGGTGTCAACTATGAAAGGGAAACGTCTATAAAAATGTAAGTTTCCTAACCAGATATTGGAGATAATTTTAGGTTAAAGGTGCAAATGAATTGGTCAACGACTAGCAGTGTGTTTAGGTTGAATGTTTGAATGATCACTTAATTGGGCACTTTAACTAGGGAGGGGAGCCTAGTAGATTTGCCGGACACTTCAGATTACTTGGCTCTAAGTGGAATTTTTATGTGTTTTGGACTGTCTGTGAGGACCATCGGTGCCCTGCTCCGTCCTGTGGTGATGAGTATCTCATGTCAAGACATGTGAGGTACCCTGCGCGGCAGCAGTCCAGCTGCGCCGTCGCTAACGGCCAGCAGTGTGAGTCCGTGTGCGCACAAAGAACACTGTTGCAAAGTTACAGCATGGCAGCACGCACTTCTGACTTGTTGTGCTTAAGCACAAATTGCGGTGTTTTTCATTAAGCATTGTACGATGTATAGTATTTGCTAATTTCAGCATCTGCAGTGAGTGGCAGAACTCAAAGATCATTCACAAATGAATATCTTAAAAAACAAACAAACGAAACAACCTAAAGAACGTAAGACTTCTATTTCAGGCAATTATAGATAGCAATAGGGTTCCTACTTTTTTTTGTAAATTTTTAAAAATATCTGTTGAAGTAATCAGAACATCATTTAAACCCAGGTATTGTCTTAGAATATAAGGTTATGACAGAGAACCTCTTGCTTTACATGCCTTGGAATATATGGCTGAGGCTAAGGGCTGTTATTTACCTGAGTAAAGGTTTACAAAAAATTTTTAAACATTGAAAAACATTTTTGCAAAGTGCCATTCAGTAAGCCTAGTGTGTTCAGAATGCTCACTTCCCTGCACGCTGAAAGCGTTATTTAGACTGTAGGTGTTGGGTTAGGCCGTCCTCCCCTCCCCCTCCAGGTCTTTGTCAAGAGAGACAATTGACTTGGTCAGCAGGCATTGTGTTCTGTTGGTGTCTGTGCGTTCCCGGTGTGGAACCCCGAAGGTTGGCTGCGTGCACTTCAGTGGATTGGAAATGGTGGTTTGTTATTAACAGTAACTAGGTTCGAATGTATTTTTCCTAAGTTCTGTTTCACTCTAAAGATTTTTGTTGAGCAGATTGGTTTTCAGTGATGATACTGATTTATAATTTAAGGAAGTGTTGTGTCTACGCAGAGTTTCTAAGGCAAGAGTCAGGGCGTTTGCTCTCAGAGGCTCCCCAGCACGGCCGGCATTCTTGTCTCAGTGGGTCCATGAGGAGAGCAGTTATAAGCCCAAGTGATTGCTTGTGCTGGTCAATATTACAGTATGATTAAATTTTTTTTATTACACTCTTGAAATTGAGGAGAATGGTAATTAGGTGGCAGCCATAGTGGAACTTTTTTTTATTAAGTTTGCAGCCATGTGGCAGTTTTGATAAACATTCAGGTTAAATTCAGCATCAGTTATGGTTGGTGGCCGTGGCCATGGCCAGGGAGGCGCATGCTGAGCCTGCCCCTGTACCAGTGACGTAGCGTGCGTTCCCTTATTCACCAGGTGTTGACTGAGGGCCGGACTGGGCCTGGGACACTGTCGAGGCCCTGGGCGGGAGGGGGAGCGGTGAGAGGGCAGTGGGGGACCAAGACCGACAGGGTCTGTGCTTGTAAGATCTTTAAAGGCATGGCCCAGGGTTTTCATCTTATGGGTGAACAGTAAGGATTACAGTGACCCAAGGTCATCTAGTGCTTGACAGTTGCGGGCAACGTTAATGACTATGAGAACCTGCCTCAGAAGCTTCCCCAGGGGAAGAACAGCCTCAGTTTCCCCCTAGAAGGTGGTCTTCCCCACCTGCTGTACTAGAGGGCTGGCTGGCTGGGGCTGCCCTTCCGCTGTCTCAGGCCCCCACCGTGTCCGCCCCCCGTCCCTCGCCCCAGGCAGAACCGAAGCGCGTTCTCCGAAGGCTTTAGCACTGCCTCCTTTGCCCGTCCTTTCAGTCCTCCGTTAGAAGCTGATGGTAACTAACTTACCCCAGAGACCGAACATTTCAGAGATAAAAACGGAAACTGAAGCATCTCTCCAAGGTGCGTCTCCAGCCTCCAATTGCCCAGGGTGGGAAACAGCAGCGATGGCCCACGTTGTGTTCTAATCCAGAGACTGGGTTCAGGGCTGTGTCTTGGGGAAAGATTTTTTTTTAATAGAAAAATGGAATTCCCCAAAACTTAAAAATGTCACAGACTAGTAAGATTTCTTTTAAAAGGAAAAGATAATGTTGAGGCCTTGACATGGGAGACTGACTATGATTTTTTGCCAAATGAGGATACGTAAAAAAAAACAAAACAAACCTGTTATTTGCCATTGCCACCCTTCCACTTTATAAAAAGGGTATTTTCGAATCAAATAGTAGAAAAGACCTCATATAAAAGACAGTCTTTATTCAAATTGAAATTAATATGAACTCATTAAGTTGTTTCTCTATTTCTCATTTAGCTGTTGGCCAGTGAGAATCAGTGTTAGAATTTGGTAACTGCTTTTCCTTGAATTATGTCCTGTTCATTTCTTAAAATATTGCCCAGGATACTGGCATTCAGTAAGTATTTGTTGAATGAGTAAATGATCAGCCACATATCCAGACATCACTTAATACCTTGATTAGTATGGTCATTAAACATTCTTTTGAGTACATCTGTCCATACAGATTTTGAGTACATAAATACAGATTTACCCACCAGCACCATAGGCTTTTGGAACTCTGAGGTGATCCTGTAATTTGCGCCCCCCCCCCCCGTCTTAAGTTGAGGTAATGTGGTGGTGACGACTTTAAGGTTGTGACTCAAGCAGGACTGGAACTCAGGTTTCTGGAGTGTTCTACCATATTCCTACTGAGCAGGTAGTCAGCCCATGGATTTATCTTCCATTGTGAAAGCAACAAAAGACTAAGAAATTAACATGAAATACTTTAGTGTATTCTTTCTTTACCCTAACCTTTGATCTGCGGTCTTATTTAGGAAAGTTTAAAGTACTTGTTTTTTTGTTTTGTGTTTTTTTTCTTAAATGAAAGATTACAGGGAATGTGAGAATTTTTTTCTTTTATGAGTGTGAAGAAGTGTTTCCTGGTCTTCTCTGAGCTCTTTCTTTGAGGAAGTGGAGAGTAAACTTTTTTTTTTTCTTCAACGTTGCCTGTGGTGGGAGCAGTTTGCATGGCTTTCTGTTTTCTTGGGTGGAATTAACTGGCTTCAGTTAAAGTAGTTGGGATTACTTAAAAACAGTTCCTATGCTTGTCCTAAAGGTGGAGGGTTGGGCCTCAGAGGCCACTGGTAATTCTTCTCTAAGAGCGAACGTGAGCTTCTAGATCAGAGCCTGCAGAGTGTCAACAAGTCATCCAGTTTTCATCCACTTATGCCGAACGAAAAAGGTGTCTACAGACGAGAAGGATCCATTTTCTAATTTAAAGACTTGAAGGCGTGTCGCGAATCTCAACCAGCTGTGTTGAGAATTTTAAATGTAGACATTCACAAAAGAGTGCTATGTATGTATTTCCTCATTTATTGTTTGGACGAGGAAGCCCTACCCTGATTCTTGTTGAAGGCAGAGAGTTGTTGCAAGCAAAGTGAGATTGGGCCAGTGGATTGAGGTTTACAGTATCAGTGAACCGAAATTTGTCAGGGTTCCCTAGGCCAAGGTGAGCAGCCATTCTGAGGGGTATTTCCTGAGTAGGGATTTTAGGAAAGGTTCCTTTTTTGTGTGTTGTTGACCTGTTTTATGTGTGCTTGTGGGTGTGTGTGTTTCTTATATGTTTATATGTAGGACAATTTGAAGCTCTGGCTTTTAAAATTTTACCTCAAGTGCTTTGTCATCTTATTTTTTATAATTCTTACAGTCTCTACGTTTGTGGAGGCTATTTATAAAGATAGAGATGTGCATTTCAGTGACACTTTAAACATATATTTATCTGAATTTCACAGTTTTTGTTGTGAAACTTTACAGTTTTGATTTAAACCATAAAGCACCATGTTTTAAGTTTCTTAACTGGATGAAATTCTAGTGATGTAATAAGTGTGCCGACTGGTAAGTGGTTGGATTTAATTAACAAGCATGTTTAACAGGCTGGCACTGTAGTAGCGTAAAAGTGAAGCAGCTGAATTTGGTGCCTTCTCTGCGACATGGAGAAAAGCTCCCTCTGGACTGTGTGCCCAGCCTTCTCTTTTCTCTGACTGGAGCCAACCATTTCTATTTTTTTCCCCTCTAGGTTTTGGAAATCTCCTTGTCTCCAGGTTGCTGGAATTGACTTCTTGCTCAACTGAATTACTCACTCAATGGAGACAAAGAGAACTAATGCTTTGTGCTGACTCATATTTGAATCAACGCATCAGGGAGTCTGTCTGCCTTGTTTGTGGGAAGAACCAGTGATACTCTCTATCACTGGGCTTCCTAAGGCTTCTGAAGATAAGAAGTTAGAGGAATATACACTTTCTTTTGAACTTTTATAACAAATACTTGCTCTAGTTTTGAAGCCCAGGGCTGCTGGGGGTGTGAGTGACAAGATTTACAAGTGGCCTTATTCCATCTCCAGAAATTCCTCAGCCGGGTTCTTACTTACACACAGTCCTGAAGTGACAGGAAACATGCCAACTCAATCCCTCTTAGTGTATATGGATGGACCAGAAGTTATTGGCAATTCTCTTGGCACCCAGATGGAGCTAGATGATGCCATGTCAATAAAAGGGACCGCTGCTGTTCCTTTCAGAGCCACGCAAGAGAAAAATATTATCCAAATTGAAGGCTATACGCCCTTGGACTGCATGTTTTGCAATCAGACCTTCACACACTCTGAAGACCTTAACAAACACGTCTTAATGCAGCACCGGCCCATCCTCTGTGAGCCCGCAGTTTTGCGTGTGGAAGCGGAGTATCTCAGTCCTCTTGATAAAAGTCAGGTGCGGACAGAACCTCCCAAGGACAAGAGCGGCAAAGACAACGAAGACTTGAGCTGCGAAGTGTGCGGGCAGACGTTCAGAGTCGCTTTTGACGTGGAGATCCACATGAAGAAACATAAGGACTCCTTTACCTATGGGTGCCACGTGTGTGGACGGAGGTTCAAGGAGCCCTGGTTTCTGAAGAACCACATGCGAACACACAACGGCAAGTCGGGGGCCAAGAGCAAGCTGCAGCAGGGCTCCGAGAGCCCGGCCACCATCAACGAGGTGGTCCAGGAGCAGGCCGCTGAGAGCATCTCCTCTCCTTACAAGATCTGCATGGTTTGTGGCTTCCTATTTCCAAATAAAGAAAGTCTAATTGATCACAGGAAGATGCACACCAAAGACGCGGCTTCCGGTGGCAGCAGTACGCAGGCGGACGCTCAGCTGGCGGGGGTGCCAGCCCCCCGAGACGAGTTCCTGCAGTTCCTAAACTTGAGGCCCAAAGCGCACCCTGAAACCGGCAAGCAGCCCACCAGATGGATACCTCAGCTCGACCCCTTCACCACCTACCAGGCCTGGCAGCTGGCCACCAAGGGCAAAGTCGCCGTCTGCCGGGAGGTGAAGGAGCAGCCCGGGCAGGAAGGAAGCACCGACAACGATGATTCGGACAAAGAAGAGCTTGGAGAAATCTGGAATGCGAGCAAGAGCCATCCCGAAGGTTCTGGAAAGTCCAGAACAGGTAGGAGCGGTTGTGCAGGCCTCTCCCAGGATAAGGAGAAGGCTAGACATGCCAATGGTGAAGTGCCTTCCGGGGACCCGGACCCCAAGTTGTCCGGTAACAAAGAGAAGCCCACGCATTGCTCCGAGTGCGGCAAGGCTTTCAGGACCTACCACCAGCTGGTGCTGCACTCAAGGGTCCACAAGAAGGACCGGAGGATGGACGCTGAGTCGCCAACCATGTCTGTGGACGGAAGGCAGCCAAGGACGTGTTCTCCAGACCTCACCGGTACCCTGGACGAAAGCGGAGCCGTGGACCGGGAAGGCGGTTCCGAAGATGGATCCGAGGACGGACTTCCCGAAGGGCTCCATTTGGGTACGTCCTGGGCTGCGGGCCGGCCGCCGGCAGGGCGCGGGCCGTTGAGGGGCTTCCTGGGGGGTTGGAGTCCAGGCTGCGGGGCACCTCCCCCTTGTAAGTCACTTGCCCCGCCCTGGGTTGAGGTAAAAGGCCTATCCATCTATCAAGGTGTTTCCCTGTTCTGAAAATTCTGGGATTTTCTATTTTACTAACAAAGGACACATGTTATTTTAACTTGTCCATCAGCCTGAAGCAGTGCTTCTAATTAAGTGATGGTTTTGTCCCCGGAGGAAATGTGGCAGTGTCTGGAGACGTTTTTGGTTGTCCCAGCTGTGTTGGGGGGGTGTGCTGCTGGCCCAGTGGGGGGAAGCTGGGATGTTTCCAAACACCCCACAACGCACAGGACAGCCCCACAGCGGAGAAGGTCTGGCCCCAAATGTCAGCAGCCTCGGGGTCGAGGCGCTGGCCTTTGCTCAAGTGTTTTCTGCATTCGTGATCACACTTAAGAAAATAAGTGAATTCTTAGGCGCGGTGACCATCCCTGTCTGTCAAAGCCCAGCTCTGTGTGTTTATCATAGTGGATTTCCAGGGGTGACAAGTGCTGGGGTGATGGTTAACTGGAATGAGAACGCTGCTGTCAGCGACACCTTCTGGTTCTGCCCGGTGTCCTGTCCTTTATGTCTGGGGCTGGTATTCATGAACAGCTCAGAAGTGATGTTTGTTCGTAAGATACAGGAAACGTGAATATACCAAAGACGTCTTTAAGAACTCTCATTTGCTCAGTCGTTTTTAACGTGCTCATGACACTTAGAGGACACAGAAGCTGCCGTTGAGGGCTCGGCGGGGGCGGTGATGCTTCTGGAGCCTGGTGGGCCCTGTCCGGGCAGAGGACCCCGCCTGGCGGAGGCCTGCCATCCTCGCTTCCCCCAGAGCGGCTCATCCGCGTGGTTGGATGTTTTTAGAACACAGATTCTGCTGCTTTGAAAACAGTCAGCAGTCCCCGCAAGCGCATAGTGAGAACATGAATTAGTTTTAGAAAAACGTTGTCATTTAGAGAAGTGTTTTCTGGTTAAAACAGATGCTGCGTTCTGTTGTAACTTTACGGTGAGCTGTCTCAGAGTTCTGGGGGTGAGACTCGAGACGCGTTCGACCAGATGATGCACGGGACTCGCTGTCCTCTTGAGAGCCCGGGCCTGGTGCTCTTTCTGATTTTGTGATGGATGTGAGAGCCGTGGTTTTCATATCTAATCTTTAGAATATTTTGAGTTTCCTGGGACACAGGAAACCTAGCACTTAGAGAACTACCATCTGGAGTTGCAGAAGTCCAGAGAACCCATTATGGTGTCTCGGTGACATCATAAAAAGCTTTCAACCTGGGCTGCTCGTCTCAGCAGTTTTTTCTTGCCGGGTCAGTACCCCTCAGGGCCACATGGTCGTGGGGAAACCATCAGGCCCCGGAGATGCCCCAGTGCCCTGAAAGACACGAAATGGCCAGTCACGTTCTGCCAGCAGGCGGTGTGGGCAGAAGAATTGGGCGGAAAACTTGGGCTTGGTCGTCAGGCGACTAGAATGCCCATAATAGCTGGGAGCGCCGGGCCTTGGGCTTAGTCTGGTTCTGCCACTGCATTGTTCTGCGGCCGATTATATGTTGCTTAACCCTTCTTTGCCCTGATTTCCCTGTTTGCGAAATTGGTTCATCAGATTTATCCTGGTTTTCTGCCTCGCAAGGATAATTTTAACAGTCTGTTTATAAAAGGTCTAGTCCTTTAAAGGACAGCACTGTAAAGTCAGAGGTGATGCTAAGAGAGAGCAGCAACCAAGTAGATGTGGACACTTCATGTCCCTTCTGTTAAAACAAAGGTATTGCACAACTTTCGGGGTGTGATGCAACATAACATAAATCCTGACACATAGTTGGAAGTAGGAAATTGCGACAAGGTGTACAAGCCCAGCTACAGCCTTGGGTGATTGTAAAAAGGAAAACGAGGCGTCTGCATTTAGGGAATTATTTTTCCTAGATTTATACAGGCTGGGGTGAAAGCGGGTTTACAGTTGCATGTGAAACACAGCTTATTCTTGAATTATTTATTAATCGTACTCCTCCATAGGAACAGCTGTAAACCTGCTTTTGCCCCACCTTGTGTTCTGATGTCTTCTGGTCTAGCTATATCTTGTTATAATTTACTATCAACTTGGCTTTCTTTAGATTTATTTTTAAGAAAATCAAAAAGACGAAGTAAATTATTAAAAAGTAGTTTCAACTTTTATAAATGGGATTAATAATAGTTGTTCATGGGGTACTCTTATTTTTTAAAGCCCTTGTGGCACCTTTTCGGATCCAGGGCTGTCTCTGCCCCTTTAGAATGCTCAGAGGTGTTCAGAGGGTGAGGGGCCGGTACAGTTTCCTCGGGGAGTGCAGGGGTGAAGGAGACAGTGCACTCCTGTCTTTGTGGTGCCTGGATGCTAACCAATGGATTTCCTGTAAGCTGCTTTAAAAAGAATTGATGGGCTCTAAGTAAATCTAGATTGTGCAATGTGAAGGGAGCTGGGGAGGGGCCTTTTAGTTGGAAGTGTTTCAAGGCAAAGTGACCAGCTCAGTCGTGCTAAATTTTAAGAGATGTCCCAACTCGTCATGTTGTGACATACATGAAGCGAACTGCAAAAAGAGGAAGTCCATCTGAAACATAAATGCTCATTTGGGGGGAGCAGGTGTTTCACCTGTGGCCCCTCTGGTTGTCTTGGGACGCGCAGCCGTCCTTTGACCCGTGTCCCCAGGGGGCCTTCTTCCCTCTGTCGCTCTGTCTAACCCGTGCTGTCCGGCTGGAAGCTTCAGGCTTAGTGCGTTGTGATCCGAGGGCAGCTTGGGTTTGTTAGGTGTAGTCTGGCCCTCTGAGCGCTATGGGCAGTACAAACTGCTTTCCAAAACATTTCTGACTTTTGACAGACTTCCCTACGCGTTTCCCGGCGCCGAACCTTTTATTTTCTGTGAAGATTGAGTTGTGCTTGCTACCCTCTAGTGGTCGCTTGCCCGGTCTGAAGCTAAAAACCTTATTTTTCCCCGGTGGTTGGGAATATTGGCCATTTATATTGGCTCAGTTTTCTAAATGGCTTACTCTGAAGAAGCTGGCTGTTGCAGCCCATTTGTTAGGTCCAGCTCCAACTGGCCAGATCCTGCTCGGGCCAGCCAGGTTGGGAGAAAGCAGGCTGCCCGAGCATATGTCTGTTAGCGACGTTCCCTGTGAGGAACACAGGGAAAACTCAGTCCTTAACGGTGAACTCTGCTGTAGTCAAAACCTGCCCCCAAAACACAACACAAAACACACAACACACATGGGTGCTGCAGAACTTCAGACAACTTCAGAACGCCTGGTGTGTTTTAGTTTTTACCCAACACTAATATAAAAGTTATTTTATGCTTTAAAAAAAAAGATTTCATTTACTTTTAAAGAGAGAAGGGGAGGGAGGGAGAACGAGAGGGACAGAAGCATCGACGTGCAAGAGATACATTGATCGGTCGCCTCTCGCACACCCCCAGCTGGAGACCTGGCCTGCAACCCAGGCGTGCACCCTGACTGGGTGGGATTCAAACTGGTGACCGTTTGGTTTGCAGGCTGGCACTCAGTCCGCTGAGCAACACTAGTCAGGGCAATTTCATGCTTTCTGTCAAGAACACTTCGGTCACCTTGGCTTATTCATGTACTTCCGCTGTCTTCTTACATACTTTTGTTTCTGCTTTAAGATAAAAATGACGATGGAGGCAAAATAAAGCATCTTACATCCTCAAGAGAATGTAGTTACTGTGGAAAGTTTTTCCGTTCAAATTATTACCTCAATATTCATCTCAGAACGCATACAGGTAAGGAACTTAGAGTTTTTGGTGAAAAGAATTACGGTGTAGTGTCCCATGATTTTTTTTCTTTCTTTTTTTTTTTTGTGGTTCAGATAATCTGGCAGGCCTTGGAATAGTGTAAGAATAAATGTGTAGTGTGCGGATTGCAGCTGTCATTTAAATTTTTTTAGTAGCATTGTAACTTGAGCTAGTCTTATTTTGCAGTTAGTTTCCTGTTTAGTTTCTGATTACCAAATCTCACTTTCAGACCTCTTTAATGTCTTTTAATGCCGTAGCTTCTTCGTATTTTTATGGTTTAGAATGAAATGGGAATATATTTCATAGTCTTTTATTTTATATATTTCATTTATTTTTAGAGAGAGGAAGGGAGGGAGAAAGAAAGGGAGAGAAACATTGATACATGTGAGAGATGCTGCATCGATCCAGTTGCAGAGCCTCGCACACCCCTACCTGGGACTTGGCCCGCCACCCAGGCATGTGCCCTGACTGGGAGTCAAACTGGAGATGTCTCGGTTCGCAGACCAGTGCTCAGTCCACTGAGCCACACCAGCCAGGGCTGTAGTCTTTTCTTTAGATTGTAGAACAGCTGTAACAATGGTTTAGGATGCTGTGTGCACTTGAATTTCATCTCTCCCTCTTGCTAGCTGTGCAACCTTAGGCAAGTCATTTAATCTTTCTGAGCCCCCATTTTCTTAGCTTTAAAAGTGGAATAATAATACTCACTTCCACAGGGGTACTATGAAGATTAAAGAAGTTGAAAGGGTTGCTATTTTATTTTTTTAAGTTAAAGACATGCATCACATGTTCAGATACTCAAAATAGCAAGTGAGATAAAAGTGAGCCACAAGGTGGACTCCTAGATGTGGAGGTTAGCAGGTGGAGAGGGGAGAGGAAAGGACCCTGTGTTCTGCCTTAGATTCTTCCAGTTTCCAAAGGTCTCGATGCTTTTTATAAATTTCGTAATATGGTGGCATTTCTTGTTTTAGGTGAAAAACCATACAAATGTGAATTCTGTGACTATGCTGCGGCCCAGAAGACCTCGCTGCGGTATCACTTGGAGAGACATCACAAAGATAAGCAGGTCGACGCGGCCGCCGAGGTCAAGAGTGACGGGAAAAACCAGGAGACCGAAGATGCACTACTCACCGCCGACAGTGCGCAAACCAAAAATTTGAAAAGATTTTTTGATGGTGCCAAAGATGTTAAAGGCAGCCCACCTGCCAAGCAACTTAAGGGGATGTCCCCTGCCTTTCAGAGTGTCCTGGGCAGCGCTGTCCTCTCGCCAGTACACAAAGATACTCAGGATTTCAATAACGCAGCCGAAGACAATGTTGATAAAATGAGCAAAAACCCTGTCCCTGCTTACTTGGACATGTTAAAGAAGAGACCAGCCGTTGGACCTCAGGCCAGTAACCTCGTCTGCAGAACAGAAGTGGATGTCCCTCCTCCTCCTCACCCTGATGCCACCACCACCCAGAATGCCGAAGTCGTGAAGGCAGAGGTGGCAGCGGACGGCAGAGTCAAGCCAAGCATGGACTGTCAAGAAAAACCTTTAAATCTATCCCTCGGGGCGCTTCACAGCTGCCCAGCAATTTCTCTGAGCAAGAGTTTAATCCCTAGTATTACCTGCCCGTTTTGTACCTTCAAGACCTTTTATCCAGAAGTTTTAATGATGCACCAGCGACTGGAGCATAAATATAATCCCGACATTCACAAAAACTGTAGAAACAAGTCTTGGCTTAGAAGCAGACGCACTGGCTGCCCACCTGCTTTACTGGGAAAAGACGTGCCTCCCTTGTCCAGTTTCCCCAAGCCCAAGCCCAAGCCCACCTTCCCGGCTCAGTCCAAGACCCTGCCGTCAGAGAAGGGGAAGCCCGCCCCCCCGGGGCCAGGTAAAGCCTCTCTGACCTCAGGGACCGACTCTAGCACTTTAGCCCCCAGTAACCTGAAGTCGCACAGGCCACCGTCCAGCGTCGGGGCGCAGGGGGCTCCGGCCGCCAGGCAGCAGCCGTCGGAGGTGTTTTCTAAAAGCGGAGTTTCTCCTGCCCTGGAGAAAACGAAGAGGCCAGAGACGAAGTTCAAAGCCCCGGGCGTCTCCGTGTCCCAGCCGGCGCTGGGCAGCAGCACCATCAACGGCTCGGACTTCCCAGCCAAGCACGACGGCCCGTGGGTGCCCCCGGGAAGGGACTACTTCTGTGGGCGGAGTGCGGGCGGCGCCGGCCCGGAGCTTGGCGAGCCGCTTCCCAAGCGGCCCAAAGCCGGGCCGGCGGCCCTGGACGCGGAGCAGCCCGGACCTCACTACAGAAGGGGCCTCGACCTGCCGAAGTACCAGGTGGTCCGCGGAATCACGTCGCTGCTGCCGCAGGAGTACGCGTGCCCGCCACCGGCGGTGCTGCCCCCCAAGCCGCGGTTCCTGGCCTCGGGGGAGATAGACTCCGCCAACGTGCTGACTGTGCACAAGCCGTACAGCGGCCCGGGCCCGCTGTATACGTGCGCCCCCGCGGGAGCGGCGGCCGGCGTCGCGCTGGAAGGTACTGCCCGCCCGCACCGCTGCCGGCTGAGCCCCGGCTGCTCCCTCTTCTTGGGGGAGGGGCCCCAGGGGATAGATCTATGGCGGGGGGGGGGGGGGACTATGGACAGCGAGACCGTCCTAGATGTGGCCGTGGTTCGTGGTCTCCAAAGCCCGGCATTCCAGGGTCAGTCTTATTTCTGCGTGTTGGATTTTTCTCACTTAATTTTTGTCCCTTAAGGATGATCATAAGGCCGTTGAGAGCCACTGCTCTGACCCTGTCCTTGCCCTGAAATCTCAGGTGTCATTTAGGCCTGTCGCCTTCCACCACCGGGGTCTCCTGGTACACGCGTGGTGTGCCCAGCACTCCCTCCCAGCCTGCTCTGCGATTTGAGACTTGGGAAGCTTCTGCCCGTCTTCACTGGCCCCTGTAGGCTCCCAACTGCTTTGGGGACTGTGGCCTGCCCGAGTCCCTCAGGGGCCCCCACAGGGGGGTGCGGCGGGCAGGCAGTAAATCCCGCAGGGCCTGCCGGGGGCGGACCGCGGCCCACCCGCGGTTAAACCCACTCCAGCAGTTTGATGGCAGGACTTACCAGAACCATGCGGCCTGTTTAGTCCTTGTGAAATGCTTTGTGAATTTCAGAAGTGCCACCGCTTCCCTGTGTATGGCAGCCGTCGCCTGGTAGATGACTTGAGTTCTCCCTGTGGGGACGTTTTTAAAGGCCCCCCCGCCCGCCCCCGCCGCCTTTGCTGAGCAGCCTGGTAGGCGGCAGCCCCCCTTGGCCGCCTGCACTGGACCACCACGCCCTCCTTTGATAAAGCTCTGCTGGGTGGTGCTGCTTCAGACAGCACGGGAGACCTCCCCGTTTGTATCATTTCGAGTTGCCGTTCTGAGGTGGTAGTGCTCCATCAAGGATGGCTTGATGCCTGTTGATCGGGTACAGAGAGCACGTTAAAAAACAGTTGCTTTCAGCACTACAATAACTTAACACATTGCAATGAAATAATTTTTATTTGTTTTTGATTAAAAGCATCCATTTTCCCCCTCAGCACTTAAAATGGACTCAAGTCAAAACTTTGTCTTTACTTGAGAAAAGACCATGTTGCAAATAAAGTGCATTTTAAAATCAGTGTTTTTACTTCTTCCATGATGGTTTATTCATCATGGAAGAAACAGGCTGCCTATTTCTCTTGGCTTTTTAATTCCTTCTGTGGCAGCCCAGTACTTAGATAATTGTAGCTTTGGTGAATTAAAACTGTGGTAACAAACGTCTGCATGGCACTTTAAAGCATCGCGGCTGAAACTCGACAACACCTAGGTGACTGGTGGGCTCTGACCGCATTGTCAGGAGTTAGGGACTTTGAAAACTCACCTCTCACGGCCCGCCCACAGCTTACCTGCTTGCTTGGACTGAAATCTAAATGCCCTCTTACACTTTCTTTCTCTCCCAATTAGGAAAAAGGCCTGTGTCGTATCAACACTTGTCTAGCAGCATGCTGCAGAAGAGGAGCTATGAGAGTTTTATGGGGAATGCACATTATCGACCAAATGACAAAAAAACTTGATTTCCTATTTTGGGGAAGAAAGGTGAGCCTATACGTACATAAAATGTATTGATTGTATTTGATTGAAAGTAAACCATCTAGCTTACTCAGTAGACTATAAAGTAAAATTACTTTGAATTTCAATTTTGATTTTTTTTGTGTGTTTTAAAACTTAGAGTGCTCAGGCCAGAGGCACTAAGATAGCAACCAAAAGTCAGTAAGCATTTGTTTTGTGCTGCATCGAGTGTGTTATAAACAAGACCTCTTTCATCCGCCTTCCAGCAGGGGGCGGCAAGGCCGGCATTAGCAAACTATGTTCTCTGCTTGTTTGTGTCTGTACAATTTTATTGGCCCCTGGCCAGGACCTATGGTCTGTGGGTGCCGAGTGGGTAGTTGTGACATGGACCGCATGGCCCGAGCCCCTGAAAGTATTTACTGTCTGGCCCCTTTACAGAAAAAGTTCCCTGGCTACCAGGGTAGGATGTCCCACACCTACCTCACAGATGTCCGAGACTTGGATTGTGTGACTTGCCAGTGCCCCGCTCTGCCTGGTTTTCGTCCTAGGTCTGCCTGGTCCTAAGCCTGCGCCCCAGCCCTGCATTAAGAGCTTGTTCACAGCCTTTATCAGTCCTTACCTGTTGGGAGGGAATTGGGATGGGAGCAGGTAGAAAGGTTTAATTTATGTTGACTTTTTGATTTCCCATGGAGTATATATCTAACTGGAGAGTAACCCCAAAATACTCAAATGGTGTTCTCAGAGTTGCACGCATGTTGGTTTATTCCAGGTTTGGGCAGAGGGTGTGACGTGTGTAAGAAAGTTATTACACTAGGACTCACTTAACGGTAAATTGAGTAAGAAGACTGGGCTCCAGGACAGGTCCAGGTCTCTGAGGTGAACCGCCGCCGGGGGCCGTTCCTGGAACGCTCTCCGGACCGAGGCCTGCAGGGGCCGGAGTGCGCGGCGGCGGGACACTCCCGGCCAGCGCAGAACCTCTCCTTCCTGGGTTCGTGGGTTACACGGAGCCGTAGCCACGCGCAGGTCTGCCTCCTCCTCCCACGCGGAGAGAAGCGGTGCTGTCACAGGAATGGAGGAAGGCACAGGTTGTCACTGACAGGCCACCTGCTCTGTGCGCTGTGACCTGTCAGTAACAGCGCATGTCTCTTCTGCAGCCTCTGGGCTTCTCCACCTGTGCTCCCCGCTCCCCAGAACACCCTTCCTGGTACTTCAGGACCCGCTCACATACCATCTCTGCAAGTGTTTGTGGAGAGCCCAGGGCTTCTTGCTCATCTGTGCTGCCTCTGAACGTGCGTGTGGCTCATGGCCACTTCTTACCCCCACTGCCCACTGAGCTCAACGCCCAGCCCCCGCCGGGAATGTCGCAGCAGATGTTGCTGAATAGATGATGTTACAAGTGTCTTATGCACCTTTCTTCCCACGGACAGAGGTTATCCTGAGTCATTTGTTTTGTTAACTACCCCTAGCCTGTGCCATGTTTTCCTTTTATAAGGTGTAAACTTGCAGAGTTCCTGGGAGGTGACCATTGTCTTTGCAGACTTAGTTTAACTGATACGAATTCTGGTTCTTGGTTACATCATCTTCGCGAAATCACAGCTAGCTATCTGTTACCATTTTAAAGTAGTGCAGCATCATCTCTGTAGTCTCCTGGTACTTCACTGCAGAATTCAAGATTAAATGGAATATGTTACAGGCTAGATCTTTGTAATTTATTTAGTACTCTTTTAAGTTCTTAAAAAAGTTTTTATTGATTTTTAGAGAGAGATGAAGGAGAGAGGGAGCGAGCAAGAGCATTTGCAAAATGTTGATGTGTGGTCCACTTAGTTAGGCATTCACGGGTTGATTCTTGCGTTGTGTCCTGACTAGGAGCTAACCTGCAACCTGTGGTACCCAGACGATACTCTAACTGAGCTACCTGGCCAGGACTTAACATATTTTGAAAATTGCCTTCAGTTTTCTCTTAATCATTTTTTAAATCTTTGTTTTCCTTAGGTCTCGACGATGGATGTGTGTTCTCTGCGTGAAGTTAAATTAGTTCATCCTTGGAGAAAGCAAGTGGTGAAAGCTACTGAAATAAGCTGTGATTGTACTGTACATAGAACACAGGAACACTACAGTGCTGTAACGTTCTGTTCACTTTTGTACCAAATAGCAATAAAAAACTATAGTTGGAACAGTTGAGTTGTACACAGATGGAGACTGGAAACCTCTATTTTGTCCCTGAATAATATTTTTTTTAGAATTGACCAAATAAGTGGAGTTTTTGCATACTTGAGCGCTGCTGAAAAGAATCATTTGGGCTGGGGCGGGGGGAGGGGAGAAAGTATATAAATGCTTGCACCTCAGGTAAAAATCTGTAAATAGATAAGTTGTACCTGCTTGTTTAAATACCCTGTGTATTCTTCTCATGTAGCTCATCACTCTGAGCTGTTTCTTGCTATTTGTGCTCTTTCATTTAAAATGTACGTTTTAAAAAAAATTTCTTGATGATTTGTATTATGTTAAATCGTCCACAGTCTGTTGTCTTAAAATTGTTAATGGAAGTATTGACCCCCCTGTGACTATGTGCTGCATAGATTGAGGTCAGCCACTCTGAACTTGGGGCCCTTTTATTGCAAACATCACTGTCAGCTGAGGATGAGCCGAGCTCCAGCGTCCCTCCTGTGGGAGCCGGTGGTTTGTGGGGTTTTTACGTGCACGTGGCCACAGAGGATCATTTCCTCTGTAGAGCAGCCAGCTCTCCAGTAAACATACCAAATTGTATGTGGAGCTACTGAATTTAGTTTCCTATCAAATTAATCATTTTTGTTGGGAAATTCAGTTTTTGGGCGCTCGCCCAAATTAGTAGATGAATAACATAAACGCTAAATTACATATGTGATGTACAGATAGGGGAAGCAGGCTTCATGGAAATGAAAGTTCCAGGGTAAGTGGCCAGTCTGTGAGCGTTCGGAGGGCTTGGGGTGCGTCTGCAGTCGCGGGCAACGGCGTCCGCATTCAGACGCCGGTTCTGAATCAGAGTTGCTGGCCGGGCCTTCCGGTAACCAGCGGGGAGGACCCGTCTCTAGACCTCGGTTGTCTTCCCAGTTTTGGTTTTAAAGCAGCAGCATTTTCTCAGTTCAGATGCAATTTGGGTTTTAAAGAGAGAATAGCCACCAGTTGGCTTATTAGATGTTTTAAACTTTTTGTTCCCTTACTTTGCAGTCCCTCGCTGAGTTTCTTCAGCAGCCTCTGGGTTTAGCAACCACGAAATGTTTTATTAAGAAACTTTCAAAAATAAATTTGCACTGTTAATGTTTCATGTCCTAAGGGAGAAGTACTGAAAGAAACCTGAATTTATTTTTTTTTTTTGTTTGTTTTCATTATGCAACATGAAGCGAAGTTGATCGCGAAGTCTTAACTCCCATGTGACAGGGAGGCCTAATTTGAGATCAGTCCGCTAGTCTTGCAATGAAGTGCTTTGTAGCAGGAAAGTGTACACTATTAACCTTTTTTCCTGTTCACAAGCTGAGCCATATGTACATAATCTAGATTTTCGTTTTCATAGTTTTGCACTTTTATAGCCTATTTTTGAAGATTAACACATTTGCAAAGATGATTGACTTGATTGTTGCCTAATCCAATGAGTGTTAGAGGAAGCTCACTCTTACATGTACACCTTGAGGGATACATCATATAGAGGGCTGAAATTTAAACCTGTATTTAAAAAAAAAAAAAATCACCAAATCTATTTGAAAACAAGTCAGTTCGTGCTATGCTGAAATTATTGGGGTTTTCATGTTTCTCCTTTCTAACCACATTTCTAAAAGCATAAAAATGTCAGTTTTTTTTTTCTTTTTCACAGCCCTTGTATTCCAGAATATGTTGTTTTTTTGTTTTTATTTTTATTTTTTTGCCCATCAGTATTAACTATTGGGATACTACTGGTTTTGTATGTTTTTCTTTGAGACAACAGTACATATAATAGAGGTACAATCTGTTGGATTTTTGTTTATGTATTTATTTCATTCCAGTTTGATTTATTTTAATTGTTGATACTTAAGTTGTCAAACAGTAGACATTACTTGTTTTATTTATGATATATTTCAGCTTAAAGTTATCTTATTGTATGTGGATGTAAATATAGATTTGGTGTTTTGCAGCCTTGGGTTTGGGTCTTTATTGTGCTCCTGGTTTCTGATTTTGTTTTATCTCCCTTTTCATAAATACAACCGTCCACACACAGGACAGCAGCGAGACCAGAGTGGCGAGCGCCCTGGTCCTCTGCAGCAACGTTCTCTGCTTTCGTGCGCCGCCTCCCGCGTCTCCCCCGAGTGTTGCATAGCAAATCTCCGATGTGATTTAATTTCACCCCTAAAACACATGGGCGTGCACCTCTGACAGGGCTTTTCGGGGCCGCACCTGGCTGAACCGACAGGGTTTCCCGGGACCCGCCGCCGTGGCCGCGTTGCCCGGTTGACTTCCTGCAGGCGGCCGGTGGTAGTTCGGAGGCAAAGGGCGCACTCACTGCCTTCCGGGACAGGCTACTTACTCCTGCTGTAACCTAGCCCCTCCCCCGGTATGACACTGACGAAACTGGGTGACTTGTCCTGTAGAAGTCACCGCGCGCTCACTGGGGTTTCCTGTGCCCGCGTGGTCTTTTCTAGCCTGTCCTGTAAACCGCTGGCTGCACCGGGGGTCGCAGGTGTGACCTGCAGGTTCCCAATGGGCATTAGGAATGTTACACAAACATTGCAGAAGGTGATTTTTTTAAAAAGTTCTGTCGTTCCCCCTGCATTGATTAGGTGGAATTCTGTGAAGAAGACGTCTCTGTGATGATTTTTCGCCCTGAAATACAGCTTAAACGGGGCTGAATCTCCATGGTCTCCCGTGAGGAGCCAGGTTTGGGAATAAGTTGGTGCCCAGCCCAGCACCTTCCAGACACAACCGGTGGATGACCTTAAGTTTTTGTTTTGAACTTGTACATGGAGTGTATTTGAAGCAATTGCAGCTGGCACTTTGATGCTCAGTCTCCTGCCTGTGGCTAAAGGACTCATTTAAGTTGGCTCTGTGTTTGAGTCTGAAGGCTTCTTAGCTTTTTGCTGCAATGAGATGTTCTGAGTTCATCTTGAACATTTCTTGAGGTCCAGACCTGGAGACAGTTGCTCCCCAAGGATCCTGGGTTCCAGTCAAAGGAGACGGCAATGGGAATGCTCGGGCTGGGGTGGGGTGGGAGGAAGCTTATTACAACCAGATTTGCTTCAGTTCCTGGGCCAAAATACCTACTTTCTTTAAGAAAAATACTTAAGGAAATAATGCTGCTGTTACTAATTCAAACCTAAGACGGTGCTTTTACTTTTTGGTTTTCTACTTGATTTTTCTGGAAACCTGGGTTCCTGATGATACTGATGCAGTAGGAACTCACTTTAACATCGGAGACTGGATGCCAGCACTTTCGACAGCATGATGACTAAATGAAGCTTTCAAAAAATGTTTTGTATATACACAGCTTTACTTGCTGATAGCGGTGGGTTTTTTGACTCGTGGGCCCAAACCAGCCACATCGTCACCGTCACTCCTGGGAAATTGTGAGACGGGCGGATGGTGAGGTTCGCCCCAGCCCCGCTGAGCTGGGGGCCTGAGGGTCGTGGCCATCAAGTCCTCCAGTGTTGACTGGCCTCTGCCGAGGACGTTCCCCTCGAGAGACAAAGTCGTGTGGCTGTGCGGCAACTTCATCTGCTCGCTGTCGGATGCGTTTTTTTCCAAGTCCGGACACAGCTCTCGACCTCACTCACAATAGAGTTGTTACATAAAACATACTTTTCATAGTCAAAATGATAAAACCAGGTATATTCAGAGACATTGGCTTTCTGTCGCTTCCCCCTGTTTTACTCCTTTTCATAAAGTAACCCATTTTAAAAATGAGTTTTTGGTTTATCCTTCCATTGCTTCTGTTAGAAAGGAGGAGCGCCCCAGCTGGCCATTCGTGCTTCCTCACGTGAAAAGGAGCAAGCACTGCATGCGCGTTGGTGCAGGCTGGCGTTGGGGCTGCTGCATTTTTTTCTTAAATGAAGAAAATCAAAAGACTTAGGGAATAAATCTCATTTGGTGGTGAAAGTCGGTGGCCTCTCTGCCTGACTTTATTTGTTTGGCACGTTGTCACTGAATTTGTACTAAGTGCCAAGCGTGTGCTAGGTGTCAGCGGTCTGCCTCCCATGAACCAAAGTTCTCAAGCATCTGCTGGATGCTTCAGATGGATTGAAAGCTGGCTCCAGAACAGCGATGACATGCAGGGGACAGTCACGCGGGCTGGGTGGTCAGGCTAGCTTGTAAGCAGCGACCTGAACGCTTTCCCCACCCCTCTTGTTCATTGTGGCAGCCGGGGAGGCCTTGGCTTGCTTTCTGCAGCGGCAGTCTTGCTGCTCCGAATCTGGTAACGCTTCCACTCCAGGTAATCCACATTCAAGTGCTACATGTCACCTGCCTCCCAACCCTTTGCAGCTCTCCCTGTATTTGGCATTAATTTCTTCCCAGCACTCACCACTGCCTGCCATTGTCGAGCACTGGTCAAGGTGAGCTCCCTGTGGGCAGGAATTTATGTTTATCTCCTGGACTTGGTGAGGGGCGTGGCCCTCCTCGTATTTGTTGCTTGGATGGATGGATGGATGGATGGATCGATGGATGGATGGATGATGGATGGATGGGTGGGTGGGTGGGTGGATGGATGGATGAGTGGATGGGTGGATGGGTGTGGTTTATTCCAGCTTAGCCATCCATTGACAGAGGAAGTCTAGACTTTTTCAGAAAAACCTCCTACCTTTGAGGTTATTTGCTAAATTACTCCACATAAGCATTTTCATTTATCCGTAGCAGTAAGTGGAATGCACCTCTGCCACGTGTTAGTTTATTATTCCTTACACACAAACCAAGCGGAAGGAGTTTCAGAGAGGGGAGGGGGGGTGTGGGGGGGCAAGTGCTAGAAGAATCCAAGGTGTGTAGGATCCAGAGTTTTGGTCTGGTGGTTTTTTCCTGGGTGTATGAGGGGGGTCGGCGGGCGGGGGGGTGGCGAGAGCGGTGGAGGAGCTGAAGGGGCAGTTTGGTAATGAGGTCATAGGAGGTTAGAGATACAGGTACACCTCATTCTTTTCCACTTCGTCAGTCAATGCTGTGCGCTTTTTTTTTCCCTCTCAAATTGAAGGTTTGTGTCAACTCTGCGTTGAGCAAGTCTACCAGCCCTATTTTTCCAACAGTCTCAGATGACGGTTAGCATTTTTTTAGCAGTAAAGTAAGGTCCTTACTATGTG